CGAAGTACACTGCTGAGGGGAGCAGCGGGCGGGTCAGGAGAGGTCTGCCCCGCCATGTGGATCTCCTCCAGGGCAAGAGGGGATTGAACTCATGCGGAAGTGGCCCAAGCTTCTTTGTGCTATGCTTTAACCCACTGCGCCACCAGGGAGGGCCCTAGATTTGCATTTTGCTTAATACTTATCAGTGGTGCTTATTATGGACCTGGCCTTCCAAGGTGGACTTTCTTGATTGTTTTTAACTCTTAGTATCCAGTTAGCTTAGCAAATTCCTGTGGTGAATGGAGCTCTCATCGGGGATTCTTTCCCAGTGTTTGATAGCATGAAGGTTGTTGTTTTCCAAGATGGTACCTACCTGTCATTCAACCCAAATTATCTTTTAGTGTTTCTTGCTTCCCAAGCCAGCCCTACAAGGGTGGTATCTAGGGATCATTCACCTATGGATTGGAAACTGTTCAGGAAGGTGTTATTACTTTAAGTCCAAAGACATGTGGGCGTGTGAGGACTGGTTCTTAGTCTCTAGTTTTTCATCAACTTTCTGTGCTTACTTCTCTCTGGCCCTCATCTGTGTTTTGCTGGATCATTAGGTTGCAACACTAGATGTTAGGCACAGCCCTAACCTTACTCTGTGGGAAAAGGTCTGTTTCTTAGAGAAGGCTTTTTGTTTGGACTCCTTGTCCCAGTGGTAGCAAAATATGTCACTCTGTCTGTCCTATATGTTTAGGTGCTGCATTTTCATCTTTTATTGTAGAAGCTTTATTTGTCTAGCTTTCAATTCTGCATACAAGCAGATTAGACCACATTTAGGTTTAGATTTGTATTTGTGGGAGGAATTAGGCATAATTTTTCCCATTCTGTCATCTTGGACCCATTTCTTCTCAACTTGAATTTTCTTAATCTGTATTTTCTAAATATTTATGATTACAGGTATGTGGATGTATGTATATGTTTGTATGTATGAATGAGAGGAAATATTACCAAATGAGGGATATACTTATGGAAATGCTGTATTAGGTCTAGAGATCTTTTGCAGGTTCTTAGATTAACTTAGAGACACTAACCTGGCAATGGTATGCAGAATTAGTTTGGTGAAGTAGGGATGTCGGGAAGGCTAGAAGAAGAAAAGTCTACATAACATATGAGATGAATCATTTAATGCAGGATTAGTGTGAAGGTCCAGAACTTATGTTTTTTTGTTTTGTTTTGTTTTTTTAATATATAACAGTTTAGACCCTCCCTGGTGGCGCAGAGGTTTAAAGTGCAGCACTAAGTATAGAAAGCCACTTCTCCATGAGTTCAATCCCTGCCTCCCCGGAGGTGACCACATGGCGTGGCAGACCTCTCCTGACCCGCCCGCTGCTCCCTTCAGCAGTGTACTTCGTTGATCTGCCTGTTCTGCCCCCCACTCTGTCTCTGGTGAATCCTCTCACTGCCCCTGCAACTCTGGCCTATACCCTAGTTCTGTATGAATAAATAAATAAATCTTTAAAATAATAATAATAATAATAATAAAATAAAGGTTGGTTAAGCAAGAGTCATCAATTAATGCTAAACCAGTGTGCATGGGAAAGAACAGCTAAAGGAGGAGTATATTATTTGTGTGGTCTTAAAGCCATCGATTACTTTTTAATGACTGGGGAAAGATAGTAACTAGATGGTGGAGGTTTAGGAGAGCACCTTGACTAGGTTGTCAAGTTTATCATCATCAACAGGGCTAGGCGGTCCATCGGGGGCCCTGAGTACATTATTCACACAGCATCCATTCAGGAGTATGTAACCCACACCCAGTCATCAAGAAAAATCAAGCAAACATAAAGTAGGAAATATTCATAAAAATTTTAAATGTCCTACATTCTTTAACAAGGTCAATGTCATAGAAAGAAGAGCTGTGGAAATATTTTAGATGAAGGGAGACTAAAAAGACAGGCTAAATAAATGCAGTAACTGGTCTTAAACTGAATTCTGCGATGGAAGAAAAGAATGCTATCAAAGAAATCATATGTCAGTTAATAAAACTGGAATCAAGTTGAAATTAGATAAACGTATAGTAGCCGTGATAAGTTAACAGAGACTGAGAACTGTAAAATGGTTTATAACAGAAAAATCCTAATCCTTGAGGACACAACTGAACTATTTATGGCCAACATATTCCAATTGACTCAGAAACAACAAATGGGATGGATAGATAGGTTGCAAATGCTAAAATATATGTAGCAAAATACCAGTAAGTGAACCTGTATAAAGGGTTATTGGTGTACTGTAGACGTTTTTAATTCTTGTAACTTTTCTCAAACTTAAAATGTTTTCCAAATTAAAAAGCTTACATAAATTAAAGAGGAAGGGGAGCAGGCCTGTCAGTGACATAAAGAGGAAGAGGGGAACTGTTAGTTCTGGTGTCAAAAAAGCAACAGTCAATAGAAACAGTTAAGATTTCTGCTCAAAGAGAAACAGGGAGTTAGCAATAAACTAAAAGTCAAGTTGCAAGACAAAGAGGGTAAGAGCGATGGTGGGCTTGGAATCTTTGGGTAGTAAATTGAGTATTATTTTTATAATGTTACATAAAGCCTGACCAAGATCTATAAACAAACATAAATTAAAGGTTAGTTTCTAATCAACATTGGTATCCAGAGATAATATAATAATTAGGAAGACTATTTTTTAATTATAAGAATGTACAAACTGTGTTGTGATCTTCTATATTCTGCAGTCAGCAAATAAGCCCTACATTTGAGAAGGATATGGATGCTAGGATATTCAGAAGAGTGAGCAAGCCTAAGGATGACCATTTTCGGGGGAGGGACTAGAAAGGGGAAGACTCTCGACTTGCAACTCATCCACAGAAGACAGGAGTGTCTGGGAAGCATCTCCTCTGATTGCTCCAATGGGAGTTTAAAACTCATCCCCATGGGTTCCTCTTCTCAGTGCATCTACACCCACACACCAGGCATTGCTTCTCCCTCGTTCTGAGCCCGAGTGGCCTGCAGGCTGGCGTTTCTAACCCTCCTTTATAACCTGTGTCCATTCACATATGCTTTCACCTGAAACCACTGCCTCAGCTCTGGTTTGCAAAAGTAAATGTTCCAAAGAGAACACCGTGAGAGTAAAAGTTCCGAAGAAAATGAGGCAAAGAATCTAGGAGGTCAAAACGTATGGAGGCTTTGAAAAACCCTCACCCTGGGAAACTTGGAGGTTCCCGCTTTGGTTCCACAGTGTCTAGGAGCTTATGCAGGAAGGCTTGCTGTCACTGTAAATATGGTCTTTCTTGCTTTTTATTTCTGGTTTTGTTGGGGAAAATTGACAATTACATTGTATAAGTTTAAGGTACACAGATGATTTTTCCCACAGACATATTGTGAAATGCTTACCACATACGGTTAGTTGAATACATTCACCGGCACACATACTTAAGGTGTGTGTGGTAAGAGCACTTAAGATCTAATCTCAGCAAATTCCAAGTACACAATATAATGTTGTTAACTATAGTCACCCCTCTGTGCACAGATCCCCAGAACTTACTCAGTTATGTAACTATTCTCTCCGTCTGTTGGACCTTGGCATTTTTCTCCTGTAGAAGAGGTGCTGTAGAACATGGCCTGACACCTGTCTGGTGTTATAGAGTAAGTCCCAGAGTAAATAATTGACTGTGCAATTAGTTATTTTATGGAACAGCAGGTGTGTCAGGGTTGGGCTGAGCCTCTCGGTCTCAGTCATCATAAAACTGGGTTTTGTTCTGGTCATAGGGCTGACTCACCAGGTGGCCTAGGGAAATTGTGCCATCTTTCACTCGCTACCTACCTGCCCAATGTCACCGAGATGAACTGTGAATGACACCAAACTGGGGAAGACAGAGCTCCCTTTCCAGAGAAGAGGTCTATTTAATGCCATGCCTGTTCATTTTGAACCAAATAAGCAGTGTTGGCCAAGGTACCCTAAATCACATATCTGGGTCCTTTGAAGGCTCAGAGAAGAGTTGAAAAGTTTTAAGTGAGACCTAGTTTGCAGCAGGAACCACCAACTTTAGTGTCCACTGAATGGTTCATCCAACTTTCTTGACTTGCTGAGTCTTTACTAGAAGCCCTTAAAATTGACAGTTACTATATGGCAAAAAGGGCAGAACAAATGAATTTTTATTTTGCATTTGATTGACCCACTCTGACTTCAGATGCTTTTGAACGTCTCAGTTATTTTTATAATGGCATTGTGCCCTGCAGTGCCCTTTTGCAATGTTTAACAGCTTTGCACTAAGGGGATAATTAAAGTTCCCTAAACTATTAAGTTTTAAATTTATAATTTTTTCTCTGTAATTACCTAGACTTAAATTTTCAGGTGTTATATCCTTTTTTCATTTTAACATACTTCCTTTGCCTTAAATCCAAATGATTTTTTAAAT